TCTTCGACATCCCAGAACGCCATTCCCGGGCCACATTCTGGGGGGCCGGATGCAACTGTAGGCCACTTCGTGCTCTTCGACATCCCAGAACGCCATTCCCGGGCCACATTCTGGATGCCCGGAGCCAACTGTAGGCCACTTCGTGTTCTTCCATTTCCCAGAACTCCATTCCCGGGCCACATTTTGGATGCCCGGAGCCAACTGTAAGCCACTTCGTGCTCTTCGAGTTCCCAGAACTCCATTCCTGGGCTACATTTTGGATGCCCAGAGCCAACTCTAGTCCACTTCCTGGTCTTCGAGTTCCCAGAACTCCATTGCCGGGCAACATTTTGAATAGCCAGACGCTTCATATTCCTTCCGCCACAGCTGTGTTTGGTTCAGGACTTGCTAGTGACACTGCAGTCCTCTGCATTCAATTGGCCACTACATTCATTCACTGCAGTCCACTGAGTTTTGATTGCAATGGCGTTCCCCTGGCCGTACCCCCATGTCCAACGTTCATCCGCAGCCTCTGCTCCGCGAGGCTCGTCCGAAGTGTCGCCGCCTCGCGGTGCTTCTCAGCCTGCGCCGCCTCGCGGTGCTTCTCAGCCTGCGGAGGAAGGTGGACAGACGCCTGGTTCTGGCGCTGTGCAGCCTGCGTCTTTCACGGTCGCCTCGTTCAATTTCGGGTTCGAGCAGGGCATGATGACTGGTAAGCAGGCGGCCACTCACTGCGCTAACTTCGGAAGGTTGTGCGCCAAGATAGTGGAGACCGCTGATGCTGATATGGTCTGTGGCTGCGAGGTCGGTGCGTTCCGTGAAGGCTTTCGCCGAGCAGGGATCAACGTGACAGAGATCCTCAGTAAGCCTTTCGGTGATGGCATTCGCTTCTTGGAGGTCGACAACTACTTGACTCTCTGGGGGTTCCGCGGTGCTTCTCAGCCTGCGGAACTGACTCTGTGCGAAGACAGCAAAGTTTACAGGCCTCCTAGCGGCCGAGATATTGATGCTGTTATTTCACATTTTGAGGTGAACAAACCAGGCCATGACAAGTTCCACGTGGTGATCGCCAACATGCACATCGTGTGCGGCAAGAAACCGCCGAGCATCCAGACTCGAAAGCGGACAGTTCGCCATCTCCGCTTGCACCTGGACGGCCTGGCCAAGATTCTTGAGAATCTAAACGAGGCAGTCGTTGTGCTTGTAGTCGGCGACGACAACCTCACTTTCCAGGAGGCGCGGGAGGCTTACCAGCGCGAGCAGAACGACGAGAAGGTATGGGAGGTCCATGCCACTCCGGCCGACCTCAAAGGCGACCACGTCGCGGTCTGCGGAGCAGTCGCCCGTTTCTGCTCCATTGCCGTTGGCGCGTCTTTTACGGATCGTGGCATGCGCAACGACGCACACGATGCGGTGGCGGTTGTGCTCACTCTCCCTGGTGCTATTCAGCCTGGGGAGAGCAAGAGGCGGAAATTGTCGTCGAAAACGTCTCCGACGCCGACGTCAGCGTACAGGCGGACCGCGAGTCTTCTGTGCATTGGGATCGGTCGCCGAGTTCTGCTCCTCCGCTTTCACCGACTTCACCGGGTGATCCCGACTACGTCGAGGATGTCGTTCAGAATCGCGCGGACGACTTGCACAGGGAGCTGAGGCAGCTTTGGGACGACAGGTACGACGAGGAGTACGATCCGAAAGTCCTCCATCATCTCAGTCTCTTGCTTTTCAAAAAGAGGAAGTCCACGGAGCCAGCGGACACTGATCCAGCTGGCGCTCCTCAGCCTGGCTCGGAATATGACACGGCCTTTGCGTCTCAGGAGGAGACTGGCCGAGCCATTCTCTCTGTCCTTAAGCTTCGACATGACTTTCTGCGGAGCAAGAACATCGACGACATGCGCTACGTTCTCACGGAGCCTGAGCGCCAGGAATTGGTCAGAGTAGCTCGCGACCAGTACGAGCAGTCGCGGCAGCAGCGTGCGCTTCAGGAACGGGATATCGAAAAGGGAAAAGCGAAAGGCAAGTCTGCGCCACAAGGGGGCCATGCGGTTCCGCAGGGTCCGAACAAAGGGCCAGGCGGTAAGAAAGGTTCTCACGGTGCTTCTCAGCCTGCGGGAAAAGGTGGCCAGGCCAAGGGTGCAGGTCTGGGTGCGTCGCCAAGTTTGTGAAAGACCAGAAGCGTAAGCGGTGGCATCGCCATTTGCAACGTGTGGCCGGTACTAAACAGATCTGGGAGGTGCTGGCCTTCTCAGGGCGCTTCGACGTTGATTGGTTAACGCAAGCGTTGCAAGCTGATCACAGTGAGGGCCGTGATGCAGCAGTTCCCGAGGAAGCTCTGCGGCAACAGCGGCGCCGGCTGCACCACCAGAAGGCCGAGGCCATCGCGCGCTACAACGAGGGGGGGCGGCTTTCCCTCCATCTGTCTGCCCAGGCTGGCCAGGCAAAGCCGAACTTCACGCGCAGGCAGCAGGACGTGTTGCAGATGTTTGAGAGCGGAGCGCTGCTTCAAATCCGCAACCAAGCGATTCTGGCGTGCGGGCACGGCCGTCTGTTCAGGGGCGATGGCGACTACCTGGACATCGGCGGCAGCACGGGCGGTGGCTCCAGGCGCATCATCGATTCTTGGCAGCCGCCGGACTGGCGTGACTTCCTCCAAGACGATCAGGACATCTGAGTTTTGCAAGTCTCTCTGCCCGCGGTGCTTCTCAGCCTGCGGTCTGCCGCTCTCCAGCTGCGGTCTCGAGCAGTAGTGTTCGAAAGCATGCGAGTTCCTGCGGTGCTTCTCAGCCTGCAGGTTTCGCAGCCTGCGCTCTGCAGTACAAGTGCTTTTCAGCATGCGACATCCTGCGGTGCTTCTCAGCCTGCAGGGTTCGCAACGTGCGGTTTGCAATGCATTCCTTTTCAGTATGCGAGTTCCTGCGGTGTTTCTCAGGCTGCAGGGCTCCGAGGCTCTTCGCTTCGATGCCAATGTTTTCAGACACCGTAGCTCCGTTCCGTAAACGTCTTCCAAGAGCCGCTCGCAACCTTTTGCAGCTGGCTGTCTGCACGCTTCGCCGGCTTTTGCTGCGCGGACAATTTTCTCACACACGTCAGCGCCGTTTGTAGGCGTCAGAAAAACATGTAGACATTCACGAAGGGCTCAGTCTGTATATCGTCACATCATTACATACGCAGTCGTCGAACACATCGGTGTACATTCAGCGCTTTGTCCTTCTAGCTGGGTTGCTTCGTGCTGAGGCTGAGGCTGATGCAGGCTGAGGCTGAGGCAGGCTGAGGCTGAGGCCGAGGCCGACGGCAGACTGAGGCTGAGGCTGAAGCAGGCTGAGGCTGAGGCAGAGGCAGGCTGAGGCTGAGGCTGAGCTGAGGCAGGCTGATGCTGAGGCAGGCTGAGGCTGAGGCTGAGGCTGATGCAGGCTGAGGTTGAGGCAGTCTGAGGCTGAGGCCGAAGCTGAAGGCAGACTGATGCTGAGGATGAAGCAGGCTGAGGCTGAGGCTGAGGCAGGCTGAGGCTGAGGCAGGCGGAGGCTGAGGCTGAGGCAGGCTGAGGCTGAGGCTGTGACTGCGACTGCCGTTGCCACTGCGACTGTCATCGCGAATGCGACTACGACTGCGAGAACAGCAGAACTCTACAACTGGATTCTCGTCTGAATCTTAAGGGGAATGCTTCCAGATATGCTCCTACACATCGCTGTTAGGTTGCTTTGCCGGGATAATTTTATCTGTGTGTATTTATCTGAGTGTCCTTGGGCTCCTCGCTCCTCCTCCTCGCTCCTCCTCCTCCTCCTCCTCCTCCTCCTCCTCCGCCTCCTCCTCCTCGCTCCTCGCTCCTCGCTCCTCGCTCCTCGCTCCTCCTCCTCCTCGTCCTCCTCACTTCCCCCCCCCCCTCGCTCGCCGCCGACTGCTGCCTCCGATGCCCGCCGCTGCTCGCTCGCCGAGGCTCGTCCGAGCACCGCTTTCCGGGCCCTGGGACCGTCCGCCAGCAGAGGCTGCGGGAGGAAGAGCTGGGGCAAGGGGCTCGGGACCTCTGGGGGCTCCGCGCGGGGCAGCAGGTACCTCAAGACATCGGGTCGAAGTCTGATAGTTCCACGCTCTGGTATTTTCAGATTGGAGTCTCGGGGTCTGATCTTGTTTGAGCTCGGGTGACTCGAGGGCTCGAAGCCCGATGTGTCTCCATCTGTCTCCCGCCGCCCCGAGCACTCTTCGGGTCCGTTTGTGCCTCCCGAGCCCGGATCTCCACCGCCGTGAGCCAAAGAGCAGGGCGGAGGTGTGTCGCCGTCGTCGGGAGGAGGAGGAGGAGGAGGAGGAGGAGGAGGGAGGAGGAGGAGGAGGAGGAGGAGGAGGAGGAGGAGGAGGAGGAGGAGAGGAGGAGGAGGAGGAGGAGGAGGAGGAGGAGAGGGAGGAGGAGGAGGGGGAGGAGAGGGGGAGGGCCGTCGTCGGCCTCCAGGGGGCCGAGGTGTGGCGAAAACACCGCTCGTGGGTCGAGGGCCCAGTCTGGGCGGGCCGCCTCGAGAGCTCTCGGGGCCCCCCGCCCACCCAGGCCGTCATGGGCCCTCCTCCTCCTCCTCCCTCCTCCTCCTCCTCCTCCTCCTCCTCCTCCTGCCTCCTCCTCCTCCTCCTCCTCCTCCTCCTCTCCTCCTCCTCCTTTTCCTCCTTCTCCTCCTCCTCCTCCTCCTCCTCCTCCTCCTCCCTCAGGCGGCGGGCGGGCGAGCGGGGGCCGTGGCAGCACGGAGCCTCTTCGGGCCCTCCTGGGGCATCTCTTGTTGCCTCTCGTGTTCTCCTGGGGCCTTCGGGAAGCTGCTGCGCTGTCTTGGGGCCTTCTTGGGCCGTTCTGGGGCAGTCCTGTGGCGACCTCAGGGCAAATTGCCGCCCGAACCCCCCTCCGGATGACGACCGCAACGACGACGACGACGACGACGACGACGACGACGACGACGACGACGACGACGACGACGACGGTTCCTTGGGGGGTGGTTCTCACACGCTTGGCGATCTCGAATCTCGAATCTCACACGCTTGGCGATCCGAAGGGGGTCGCCGGATCGTCGTGAATTCGGTTCTGAAGACCTTTGGCCGAGATGCTTATTTGAAAATTGCAAACCTGCCACATCGGTACCAGTGGCGCCAGGACTGCAGTACCCATCAAGTTTTTGTCTCTCGGCAAATTGGTAGGACTGCAGTACCTATCAAGTGTCTTGTCTCTCTCTCTCCCCCTCTCTCTCGGCATCTTGGTACGGCCACTTCTTGTACCTCATCGGATGTATCTGGGCTCCACACAGTACTCCTCAGCATTGTCGTGTGTGCGCACGAGAAGTGGACGTTTCATGCTTCTGGACAGTGTCGTCTGGGTTTAGGCTACCAGGCGCTACTGTCACAGGGCGGACCCTGCAAGCTGCAGGGCATCTCTTTATGTCCACTGAATTGACCATGATTCGTTCAATGGAAGTCTTTCAGACTTGCAAATACGGCGGCGTCTCGTAAATACAGATTCGGTAACGTTTCTTGAATGCCTGATTGCCCGAAGTCTCAGATCAAAGACCCAGTCGCGAACTAGCGCAAACCACATCATCGTCGTCGTCATGTTCGTCTCCTGCGTCACCGCCGCCATCACCCTGGTGTCGCATAACCATTTTGACAAGATTCTCCGATAATAGACTGATGCCATCGCGCGGTCCCCCGCCAGTGCTGTCATACAGTCTGTGTTGATCCATTGGTATCGCGGAACTGTTCTTCTTCATCTTTCCACGGGCATTCGGTAGCCATCGCGTTCCTACCATCGGGTCTCGACCTGATTGGCAGAATGTGTGGTCGCCGAGGGGTCATTATCCCGGGATTGTCCTACTTTCTCGCATTCGGAACGGCGTTGCACTCAGTCAGATGGGCGACGGCGACGATTTCATTATGCCTGGTTCGCCTCGAATTGGATCCACTGCCAGTTTGGAGGAAGACGAGTGGAAGGAGGACGAGAAAAAAGGGGGAGGGGCATCATGAAGCGCGAACGTTTCTTCCATGCGGAGGAGAAGGACAAGGAGGAGGAGGAGGAGGAGGAGAAGAACCAGAGTGGACCCAGGACGTATCAACGATATCATGGCCGTCGGCCCATCCCTCCACAGTGCCTGGGTTGTGGGTCAGAGTCATCAGGGATGCTTCTTAGGGTCTCTTCGGAGTTGTCTCGGGGGCTTCGGGGGGCAGTTTTGCTGCTTCTTGGGGGCCTCTTAGGAGCCTCTTGGGAGCCTCTTGGGGACCTCTTGGGGCTTCCTTGGGGGGGCGTCTTGGGGCAGCTTGGGAGCCTCTTGGGGGCCTCTTGGGGCCTCCTGGGGGCGTCAGCTGGGCGTGGCAGCTCGGGAAAAAGCAAGCCCGCGAGGAAGTCGTAAGCCCCCCCCTCCAGTTTTTTTGTTAGGGGGGTCCCCCCCCTCAGATTGCTTTGGTTTATGATTTTCTGTGCGTGTTTTTCTAGGGTGTTGTTTCCCCCTGGAAGAAAATCATCAGAACGTGCTTTGCTGAGGGGTGGATCTCCCCTCCAAACGAAACCATGTACCCCCCTCATGGGCGTGTTTTTGTTTGTGGTGCTCCCCCCAACAGGGCGTTTGGTTTGTTCATGTTCTCCCGCAGAATCACCCCTCAGGACGAAAGCTATAGTCTATTACCAAAGAAACGTGGGGCACCTGAAACCTTCATAGACCGAAGGCATACGACGAAGAACAAGCCTGAAGAGGAAACAAGCAGTCAAACCCAGAAGCATTCCACAAGACAGGGAAACATAATCTTTTGGAAGGAGAAGGAGGAAAGCTGAGGGGAATTGTATCGTGAAGAAACTCTGCAGTGATGCGATGGCGGCCAAAGTCTGCAATGGCAATGGCCCATGGCTCGGGACTCGGGCCGATGGCGGGGAGGACGGATGAGGAGGAGAAGGAGGAAAAGGAGGAGGAGGAGGAGGAGGAGGGGGAGGAGGAAGAGGGAGAGACGGAGGAGGAAACGACTTCGACAAAAAAGCACCCCCCAAAAAGCATGGAGCGGCGCTCGAGCCAATCCGCGACAGGCGGGACGGGGCGCGCAGATTCGGGGGCTGGGAAAAAACGCACGGCAGCCGTGCAGACTCCTGCGCGCAGCGTGCAGGGCAGGGGCGCGCACGCAGGGCGGCGAGGGCGCAGAGTCCGGCAGAGCCCGCGGAGCCCCGGGCGCGGTCGCCGGCGGGGCTCGCCCGGCGAGTCCAGGGTGCCCCATTGAGGGTGGGGAGCCGAAGGTCAGGAGGGGAAAAAACACACAGACACAATTAATCGGCGATTCCCAGAAAATATGGGGAAATATGGGAAGTGGGGGGGGAAGACAAAAACCCAGAAAATATGGGAAAATATGGGGGATATTTTTATTTGTGTGTATTTATTTGTGTGTCCCAGTTCCCCTTTCAGAAGGGGAGCACGGGCGGGCGCGCTGCGCTCGAGCCTGCAAGATTCGGGAGCGGAGGAAGGACGTGCGCATGTCCAGGCTGGCCTCGAGAGTGCGCGGCCCCGACTCCGGATCCGCCCTGCTTTTTGGGGAAGTTCGTAAATAGGGCTCGGAATCTCCGCCTCGTGCCAATTTCCGCCCTGCTTTTCTGTGGCTGCTTCCGCCCTGCTTCTGTGGATTTCCGCCCTGTTTTATGTTGGGTGCAGAAAATTCCGCCCTTTTTTCGGCTTCTTAAAGGTGGATTTCCGACGCAGTTTTAAGTTGGAGAAAAAGCCAAAGTGCGGATCTGGAGTCAGGGAGTGTCGGAAACTGGAGCATATGCATTACCAGTGGCGGCCTCTTGTTCAATCCTCGGAGGTTTTGAGGGTCGGGGACGGCGTCGGGGTGGCGTGGTGTATGCTTGCTTCCCCGTTTTCCCGTGGAAGCAGCAACACATGTATACACCAGGATGCCGTGTACGCCAGAATCCGTTCTCGTGTGCGAATCTCAGTGCGGGGCCAGAAAAAAGCATCGGTGTAGAAAGTTCCGTTTCTTACATTGCCCGAATGTTCGCATCACGCGGCCGGTCTCGCGTCTCGCGGATCGAGGGGCCGTGTTCGTGTACATAGTTGGGCGCCTACGTCCTTTCGTGGGCTCCGCAAAACATCAGGGCAGCGTCCCGCGTCGGCTTGCCTCGGAGCGTTGGGTGGGGATGCTTCCCATGAGTGGTAAGTTGGGCGTGCCCCTCAACAGGGGGGAGATTCAAAGATGGTGTGAACAACAATCTGGAGACGATGTTTTGACCATTGCTGCATATGCCAAACATCCCCCTGAAGAAGGACGGGCCCGACCAACATTGGTGTATCTCCTCAGGTTCATGTTTGGGGGCCTCTCGTCTACCGCAGGGAATTATGCCAAGTGTTTCATCATCATGCGTAGGATGAGCAGCAGGATGAGGAGCACGAGTATCAGCACCCGTGTACGTAGTCGCTTGGTGCCTCTCTCCTCTCACCTCCCCCCCTCGCCCCCATCCTCCTCCTCATCGCCCCCATCCTCCCCTCCTCGCCCCCATCCTCCTCCTCCTCATCCTCCTCCCCTCTCCTCCCCATGCCTCCTCCTCATCCCCCTCTTGCCGCGAGGCGACGTTCCATTTTATGAGGGGCCGGCGGGCGCCCGCGTAGCAGGCTTCGCCGCGCCAGAGTGCAGATGGCCCCTGAACGCCGAGACGGTGGACCACAAGCCGAGCCATCCCACCGAGAAGGCGTTCGGGGCCGCGCTGGGGGGGGTCGACGGCGGCCAGGCAGGGTGGGGAAGCACGAAGGGGAGGGGGAGGAGGAGGAGGAGGAGGAGGAGGAGGAGGAGGAGGAGGAGGAGGCTAGGGGTTACGAGGAGGAATTTGAATTGCGACCTGATTCGCCATGGACAACGGTCAGATAGTGTCGGCACTCAGCTAGCTTCATAAACACGAGCAGTCGAGAGCATTGAAGCACGGGCGCCAAGGAGAGTACATGTTCACGGCCCAGCCACCCCATGCCCATCCCCCCCCAAACGACCACACCTAAAGGTATGACAGCTTGGCGCCGTGCGTGTCAAAGCAAGACCAGGCTCCGACCCCAAACGGGCGAAGTAAGTGTCAAGACCGCTCCAATTCCTCCCACCAACTGGCACATCCCCGACCCTATCGCTTGCCGAACAGGCTACGCCATTGACGGTGCACGAGCGTGGGTAAAGAGAGGGAGGGAACATATACCGCAGGAGAGAGAGCGGATTAGAAGGACATCGTCTCTCAGCGGGTCCGCTGCTGGCACCCTCGCGTCAGAAGGCATCGCGGGGCACGCTATTCGCACTCTCGGCCAAGCCGCCCGCGCCTGAGCACCATCAGAGAGACGGTCCTGACAAACACATTCCACGGTGTCACCACACAGTGGGCATGCAATGCAGTGACAGCAGGCAGCAGCACCCCATCCCTGCTACCCCATCCCTGCAACAAACCCGATCCTGCTACCGCTTCTCTGCCGCTCGCCGCGCACGTGGAAGGGTGCGGAGGTGGAGGCAGAGGGGAATACATGCAGGTGATACTCCATGGTCCCGAGGGGATACACGCTCCGTCGCATTTAAGCCATCGTGGGCACCCGCATGGGCTCTACGGGTCTACCCCCTCGGGAAAACGTGCACCGATGGGGCAGTTTGACATTCTCCTCTCCGCATGTCCTCTGCAGCCAACACTTCGCCAGCTCGGCATGGCGGGGCACGCTATTCGTACTATCGGGCCTCGGACAGCGCGTGGGGCCAAGCATATGACGCCATGGGACAATGCAGCCGCCCCCCCCACGACCATAACCCTGCTCCAACCCTGCTACTCCTTACTGCCGCTGGCAACACGCATGCGATGCAAGAAGCAGGATGCGAAGGGAAGATGAGGATGGGAGGGGCCATGGGAGTCACACTGGCCTTAAGAGGAGGCGCCTCGTGGCCAGCAATGCTCTCCAGACTCGCGGGGGACGCCCGCGGAAACTCCCGCGCACTGTCGTCGACACGTGCGGACATCCACATCCCATACCTCCGTCGCTGCACTGAACTGTGAATCGTCGATCGATGCATGCTGACAAGTCCGCAACAACATTATGCAGAGGCGCATGGAAGAACGGAGACGATGCAAGGAAAGACGAGGCAATTCGTACTCTTCTTTTTACTCTGAGGCAAACATTTTGCAAGAGAACATGCCGCGGCAGGCCTGGACACCTCATCCACGAGCCTGCTGCAATCTGGGAGTGGATTGCGCGGCAAGACAGCACTGCACGATTGAGCCTGCAGCACTTGCGGAGGTGACGCGCGCTGGGCAAGAGCCAATTTCTCACTGGCGGCGCCCACCTCCGCAGGCAAACTCACCACCCTTGTGAAAACACGTCCTCCCCATGTCCGTCATCATGGGATCGTCTGGGGCTTCGATCCCTCTCAACATCTGAACTGCGGGCTGCCTCATCGCGTCCCCTTGGCAACGGGCGCTCTTCTCCAGGAACCACGCGCAGCTCCACCCTGCTTGACGTCGGTGGTGACGGTGCCGCCCCACCGGCCGCCATGGCTACCACGATGGTCGGTTGCCCTGGGCATGCAATGTTCCTTGCCCTCATGGCGCGGCGCTCCTCCTCGGCGGCCTCTGCACGGCGCTCGGCAGCTGCCCGCATGGCTCGGCGGCATGCGATGCCTCTTGCCCGCATGGCGCGGCGCTCCTCCTCGGCGGCCTCTGCGCGGCGCTCGGCAGCTGCCTTGGCGCGGGCCGATCGGGCAGCCTTCTTGGCCTTCCAGACGTCGGAAGCCACATCATCACCAGCATCCTCTGGCACAGGCCCGCCATGCCCGCCATCGACATCTGCCTGTATCTCTGCCGCGGCGTGCGCCTGGGCCTGTGTCAGGATGGGCGTACCCGACACTACCACGGGCGCGGCAGGGCCTGGCGATGCAACCACCACCGCCTCCCGCGCTGGCACTGCTGGCGCCACTGCTGCAGGCTGCTGTCCCTGTGCCGCGCCTGCTGCGAGCTGCCCCAGCGTCGCCTGCAGCTCGCCAAGCACCGACGACAGCCCCGCCAACTGCTGCACCATGTTCACCTGGCCCTGCTGGAGCTCCGTGATGTCGGCTGCCGTCGGCGACGTCATGACATCGCTGTTCGGCTCTGGGTAGTGCGTTTCCAGTTGGCGTAACATTAGCTGCGCCCTCGCCAACTCATTGTAGCGCTGGGTCAGGACGCCTAACTTGTGCACGAGGGTAGCCTGTGCCTCAACGAAGTCGTCCTGTGTCCGTCTCATCCTCCTCTCGGCCCGCTCCACAAAGGCACGCTGATGCTGGAGCCTGGCCGTCCGCGATCTGCACACTACGATCATGGTCATGAGGACTGCATATTCCTGCGCCAAATCGTTGACCACACACACACACATGGTGCCCAAGCTGCGGACTTGTACGCCGCTTCTTTGCGGAGGCGATGACCAGGCGACGAAGATACCTCCTGTGCGCCTGCACTGCTTCTTCAGTGCAAGGCGGCTCCAGGCATGAAGGGTGCGGCCTGGTCTCCTCAGGGAGCGCAGGCAAAACCCCTAGCGGCTGCATCGCCGCCGAATCCTCCGTGTCCATGCCCTCCTCGACCTCGGTCTCCTCGGACGTGACATCTGCCGACTTCGACCGACACGAGGCTCGCGTCCGCCTAGGCCCAGACGTCGCACGGCCTCTGCGAGCCTCAGGCTCGGGCGCAGCCTCCGCCTCGGGCTCAGGCGTCGGCACCAGCCAACGCTGGAGCGTGGCCTCGGCTGCGTCGGCACCAGCGACGGCACGTTCTCCCTGCTGACTACGACCGCGCCGTCGTCGTCTATCAGCACGTTCTCCCTGCTGACTGCGACCAGCCTTCCCCCCCGACGATCGGGCACGCTTATCGGCCTGCGGGTTTGTCGTCTGCTGTCGCCTGCCTGCCATCTGCTGCGGTGGCCCAACATTGGGCCACGGCGCTTGGGCAGGCATTGGGAAGCACACCCTGCACGGCCTATCCTGCATCATGTTGGGCTCGCCGCACTGCTCGCATCGCCATGCTGGTATCGGCGGCTGGACAGGCACGACCTGCTTGCCCTTGCCCTTGCCCGTGCCGCCACCTTTACCTCCTCCCCGATGTTGCCACGACATCGAACTGTGATGATCGCGTAGCCGCAGCGCCGCGACGACAACTCGTAGCAGCACACATGCACTGGCGCGGGCCTGTCACTCACGACGGTGCCTCGCTGGCACTCCACTCCTGCCGCTGGACCGCGCTGACCCGCGGCGAGCGAGGAGGACGGGGAGGAGGAGAAGGAGGAGGAGAAGGAGGAGTAGGACGCGGACGAGGCGAGGATGGGGACGAGGAGGAAAAGGAGGAAGGTGAGGAGGAGACGGGGAAGGAAAAATAATGGGGCGGAGGAGGAGGAAAAAGAAAAAGAAGACGAAGAAACATAAGAAGAGGAGGAGGTGGTGTTGGTGGTAGAGGATGGGCGAAGGGGGTGAGAGGGAGGAGGGGGGGAAAGCGAAAGGTAGGGAAGACGTAATAGGGAAGTGGGAGGACGCGATGCAGCGCCGCTGCGCTGAGACGATATCTGCCTCTGGCGGGAGCGCGCTTCAAGGGGCACCGTCAGGCATCAGGCAAGACTGGCACCGACCTCTGCGGAGTTCTTGTTCCCCAGCTGGGCTTGCCCAAGGAGTTCTCACTTGGCTCAAAGGTTGCTGCCTCGGGTGGCGACTTTGCCCGTTCTCCAGAGATTCCTCGGGTTCCCCGCGGGAGGAGTGGCGCAGCAAGATGGGGTCTGTCCGAGGCGGGAATTTGTGCCTGACCACTGCCTGGAGGATCAACTTTCGGGGACGTCGGCAGGCGGTGGACATGGGCATATTCGGGCCCCCGGGGGGCCAGAATATGTCCATATCCACCGCCCGCCGGGGCACCAGGGCGTGGGTTCCCAGGCGGTGGATGTGGACAAATCCCCGCCTCGCAGCCGAGGGTCTGGGGTTCCAGAGGCGGCTTGACGCGACGCCCCCATTTCTGGCATGTCTGGCGCGGTCTTTGACCACCTTTTTAAGTTTCCGTCCAAAAGCCGCCTGTATAGGGGGACACGCCCGACTTCAGGCTAACCGCATGCCGAGGATAAACAAGAAATTCGTTGAGGATGTCTCAACCGAGACAAATCATTGTTGAGGATGTCTCATAGAGGACCAAAGACCAAGGATCCTCGAGATATCTTTGGCTTCTTCCTCTTGATATCTCTCTATGCTGGCTCTGGCGGGCAACTTTTATGATCTCCCCGAAAACCCCGAACTCTATTATCCCTGTGTGTTTATTCTCCGCGGCATACGGTCAGGGTCTGGGGTTCCGGCGGCTGTTCCGCGGCGGCGGGCCTCGGGGGAGGGCCCGCCTGCCGGTGGCGCAGCGCCTGCGGTCGTCGCGGCCGTCGCCGCCTTCCGCAGGGCCCGTGGCACGCCGCCGGCCACCGGCGGCGGGGAGGGCGGGGCCTCCCCGCGGCGGCGCCCCCAGACGTCGGCAAAGGTCGAGGCCGAGGTGTTGCATAGCTGCTGGCCGCTCGGGGCCCTCGCCGGGCCTCGGGGCCGTCAAGAAGCGGCTCGGGAGGCGCAGCCGGCCCCGGGGAGGTGGTCGGGAGGCCGGGGGCCCGCGCCTCGAAAAAGTTGGGACGCCGGATGTCTGGGCAGGGGGGCAGCCCAGAGATCCTCCTCCTCCTCCTCCTCCTCCTCCTCCTCCTCCTCCTCCTCCTCCTCCTCCTCCTCCTCCTCCTCCTCCTCCCAGGGAGGTGGTCGGGAGGCCGGGGGGGCCCGCGTCTCGAGGCGAAACGTCGGAGGTCTGGGCCTGTCGTGCGGGCGCGCGGCAAGAGCGGGGAGCGCGGGCTGCGCAGCAAGCCTGCGTGTCGCTTCCGGGGGGGAGGAGGCCCTTATGCAGTGGAGGCCCGTGCCAAGAGACACCCTGCTTGCTTCCAGGGGGGGCCTGGGTTCCGATGGTTTTCGCGACGGGAGGCGCGACGTTCCCACACCAAACATCGCTGGACGTCCTGGGGTCTCGGGGCTGGGTTTCTTGTGGAAGGTGTCTTGTGGACGTGCCCCTGCTGTACTCAGAGCGTGAATTACCTACCTCGCTTTCGCTTCCAGGCAAAACCAAGTCGTACCACGCGCCTCCTCGTCAAGCGGCCTGACCAGTACAGGCCGCAGTTTGGCATCGATTGGTACCTCTTGGAAGCGAGGGTGGTCAAAAGCGAGGCAGGTTTGTTTGCCCCCTATGCCCGGCAGGGGGGGCAGACGGCGAGCAGGAGGGGGGGGGGGGGCAGGGATTGGTACCTCTTGGAAGCGAGGGTGGTCAAAAGCGAGGCAGGTTTTTTGCCCCCTAATGCCTGGCAGGGGGGGCAGACGGAGAGCAGGAGAGGGGGGGGGGGCAGGGACGGGGGGGGAGAGCGCAGAGAGGGGAAGGAGGAGGAGGAGGAGGAGGAGGAGGAGGAGGAGGAGGAGGAGGAGGAGGAGGAGGAGGAGGAGGAGGAGGAGGGAGGGGAGAAGAGGAGGGGGGGGGGGGGGGGGAGAAGGCAGGGACGGGGGGGGGGAGGGCGCAGAGAGAGGGAGATCGCACCACTGCGCACGGCGGTCGTCCGGGCCCCGGGGCCGCACGTGCCCGGCAGACCTTTCCCGCACGGCCAGAGGCGCCGCACATGTGGCAGGTTGGGCATGGCTTAATGGGGGGGTCAGAAAAGGTCCTCTTTCGTGCCCCTTTCGGGCCCCTCCAGCGCCCCATGGGGCTCGTTTAGGTACCGTTTGGGTACCTTTTCGGACCACCCTCGCCCCCCCCCTCATGTATGACCCCCCCATTACGCAACGCCCAAGCAGGGGCGGTGGGATCGCCTCCCCCGGGCGCGGTCAATCGGGACCCCGACTGGCAACAAAAGGGGCAAGCGGCGGTGGTCAGAGGTGAGAGGGGAGTCAGGGGTCGAGTCCCCTTCCCCGCGAGGACTCCTCGTTTCGTGATTCGCCTTTCTCTTGTCCGCTTTTTGCGCCTCGCCCCTCAGGCCGAACGAGAGGGGGGGATGGGGACAGGGGGGTAACGAAATCTGCTGCATGCAGCTGATTTCAGCCCCACCGAGGGGCCCATTCCTCTGTACATGGGCGCCTCCTGGCGCCGGGAGGCGCCAGGATAATCAGCTACGTGAGCTGATTCTCACCCCCCCCCCCTTTGCTATCCCCCCCCCTTTCGCCCGGCCCGAGCCTCCTTTCTCCCCTCCCTGTCTGTCGGTTCCCCCCCTTCCGAACTTGGCATAGCGTTGGACGGTTTGCAGAGGGCGATCGGCAGACAAAGGAGGATGCTCCTCCTCTCTCTCTCTCTCTCGCTTTCTATCCCACGCTGCACGCAGCACTAGGGGCGGAGATGGGAGGGGGAAGTGGCTGTCTTCTCACACTAACATATTACGCACTGCAGAGGAGGAGACACCAGAGGGAAATGGTTGCCGTCTACCTCTCTCTCTCTCTCTCGCTCCCTCTCTCTCTCTCTCCCTCTCTCTCTCCTCCCTGTTTTGTTGTTGTTTGTGTGTGTGTGTGTTTTTGTTGTTTTGTTGTTTCTCTCTTTTTTTTTCTCTCTCTCTCTCTCTCTCTCTCTCTCTCTCCGTTCTCACATTGCACTCGTAGCACAGAGCATCGCCTCAGTAAGGATCCATGTGGAGTCCTTGCTACTTCCTTTGGTGAGGTGAAGGCCTTCTGTACGGGATCCTAAGTAAGGAGTCCTTGGTAAGGAGCCTTTAGGTAGAGGTATATGGGAGGGGGGCGCCTGCTCTCACACACCCCACAGCACAGCTCTCTCTCTCTCTCTTTCTCTCTCTGTCTCTCTGTTACCCTCTCTCTCTTTCTCTCTATTTCTTTATTTCTCTCGCTGTATTGTTTGTGTTGCTTTGTTTATGTGTTGCTTATTTGTCTCTCTCTCTCT